ACTTGCCAAGAAAACCCTGTGATATTTTTGCCTTAAGGCCACTATAAGCTGCTTTGCTATAAATTGGCACACAATACACAATTTGAAGGCACACAACACACACAAAATTGAATTTAAATATTACTTTACTTACTTTTTTTTGGATTTTGGGATATCTGTATTTGCATTTATGTACGTAATGAGACGTCTTGGAGATGAGACCCAAGTCTAAACACAAAATTCATTGGTGTTTCATATACACTTTATACACACAGCATGGAGGTAATTTTATACACAATATTTTTAATATTTTTGTCCATGAAATAAAGTTTGGGTACACTGAACCATCAGAAAGTAAAAGTGTCACCATCTCAGCCACCCATGTGGACGATTTTCGAATATTTTGGATTTCAGAATTCTAAATAAAGGAGACTCAGCCTCTGTGTAGTACAGTGCTATAACTGTGGTCCAAAACACACTGCAGAAATAATCCAGTTTGAGACCGCTTTAACTGCCCCGGCCCAATGCTAGGGAATTCTGAGAACTGTAGTTTTGTGAGATAGCCTTCTCCGTCAGAGAGCTCTGGTACCACAATAAACTACAGTTCCCAGGATTCTCTAGCACTGAGCCAGGGCAGTTAAAGCAGTCTCAAACTGGATTGTTTCTGCAGTGTGTTTTGGACCTGTGTGATGTGAAAGTGATCAAGGGGGCCCATTTCACACTACACAGTTATAACACTATGATTCCACCTTTAACTGCCATAGCTGCATCCTATGGAGCCCCAGGGGAGTTGTACTTTGGTGAGGCACTACAGCTCTCTAGCAGAGAAGTGCAAATACCTCACGGCACTACAAATCTCCGGATTCCAAAGGATGCACTTGATGGCAGTTCAAGAGGAATCGTAATGCTATAACTGTGGCTGCTGCCACACTGCAGAATTAACGCAGTTTGACGCTGCTTTAACTACCACAGCTCCATCCTATGGAATCCTGGGACTTGCAGTTTGTTGTGGCACCAGAGCTCTCTGATGGAGAAGCCTATATATCTCACAAAACTACAAATTCCAGAATTCAATAGCATTGAGCCCTGGAAGTTAAAGCAGCGTAATGTGAAAGATCTCTGAATTCTGACACCTAACTGAAAGAGGCAGCTGGCTGCATCCGCACTGCAAAAATAATCCAGGTTGACACCGCTTTAACTGCAATTTTGCCATCCTACAGTTTAGGAACTGTAGTTTTGTGATACATTTAACCTTCCCTGTCATGCCACAACAAACTACAATCCCTACAATCCCAAAGCAATGAGCCATGGCAGCTAAAAGTGGTGTCATTCTGGGTTATTTCTACAGCGCAGATGCAATGCAGCTAGAAACAAGGGCCCAAAACACACTGCAGAAATAATCCAGTTTGAGACTGCTTTAACTGCCCTGGCTCAGTGCTAGGGAATCCTGGGAATTGTAGTTTTTTGTGGCTCTCTGACAGAGAAGGCTAATAAATGTCTCACAAAACTACAATTCCCGGAATCTCCTAACATTGAGCCAAGGCAGCTAAAGCAGTCTCAAACTGGATTATTTCTGCAGTGTGGTTTTGGACCAAGGAGGTACTAGGACAGAGAGAATTTTAAGGTTTGTATTGTATTAACTTTTGAAATGGTTTAATTGTGTGTATGTGTGTGTGTGTATTTAATTGTGTGATTTAATTGTGTGATTTTGGGACATGTAGTTCCCAGAGGAATGTCTCCATAGCACCTTCTGCGAAATCCTGTTCTTTTGGAAGAAAGTTACAGGGGTTATGATTGCACTGTATAAATTTTAATTCTTGTTTTAAATTGTTAATTATGGTTTTAACTATAATGTGGTTTAATAATGTTTTAAGGGTGGGAGGGCATATGTTGTTTTATGTTGTATGCACAATTTTTATGCTGTAAACTGCCCGGATTGGGTTACCAATGGGCTGTATAAAAATACAATTATTATTGTTGTTGTTGTTATTAAAATTTTATATTGCTACATTTTAATATCATACTGTTTTTAAATTGCATTGTTTTCAATCTGCTGTTCGCAGCCTTGAGTCCCTATATTGGGAGAGAGGTGGGATATAAAAGGATGATGATGATGATGATGATGATGATGGAGAGCATGCTTGCTCAGAAGCCTTACTTAGTTTAAGGGATGGAACCACAACCCCCATAATCCCCAAACCTTGCTGGGGGATTTTGGGACATGTAGTCCCCAAAGGAATGTCTCCATAGCACCTTCTGCGAAATCCTGTTCTTTTGGAAGAAAGTTACAGGGGTTATGATTGCACTGTTTTAAATCTAATTCTTGTTTTAAATTGTTAATTATGGTTTTAACTATAATGTGCCTTGAATCCCTATATTGGGAGAGAGGTGGGATATAAAAGGATGATGATGATGATGATGATGATGATGATGATGATGATGATGATGATGGAGGGCATGCTTGCTCAGAAGCCTTACTTAGTTTAAGGGATGGAACCACAACTCCCATAATCCCCAAACCTCGCTGGGGGATTTTGGGACATGGAGTCCCCAAAGGAATGTCTCCACAGCACCTTCTGCAAA